ACGTTAATGTCCAGTCTCTTTGCGACTATTCGACTTAGGAGCTATTGCCAAATCCTCATTCTATTCGTTTTCTACTATGTTTTTGGAGGCACTTAGGTACACGGTTTTAGCTTGCTTTTCCTTCTTTTCCTTTCTGGGTATTGGAGTACTCGCCATGTGTTTGGATTGTGATACGCCATCTCGATTGAGGCTATCTTTTGCTTCGAAGCCAACCTGTACCATCTGTCGCGACGAGACTATACCTTTACGTGATGCGACAGTCCGCGTACCTCTTTGACACATTGGGTTGTGCTGGATGTTGTGCCCCAACAAGCGCACTAGGATTACCTGTAAACTAGCCTCTGCAACAGTACCCCGAACCAGCACAAACCGTAACGGGAACAGACGCATGACGAAATTGAAAAGGTTTATTCTGTCCGGTGACTCCTCTCTTTTGAAAATATAATCAGTTTTAGCGATCAATCAACCAACGTTCAACCAGGCAATTGCGCGTTGGGCGTGCACATGCGAGAGTGTAGAACTTTCAGTTGGCGCACACAGCACTGGGTGGTATCCCGGGCCTCTTGTGAACTACTCCTACCAGGTTGGTCTCTGATTAGAGGTCAGACAAACTCAGTCTCCTGATCCTCCTAGTTGGGGATTGGAAATGAGATGGCGTTCATAACTGTAAAACTAAATCATTACCACTTCCCTGCTGCCTTGCGGACAGGCTTTTGAGCCAACGGCTTTGGGTGAGGACCCTATTCGTCCTCCTGTCTGCGTCTGGGCGCCCTGGAAGTATCTCAGCCCACACACAACCATGACTATTTCTTCAAACATAAACTTCATCTTGCATCGGTCGTCGCGCAGATTATCAAGGGTTGCCTTATCTGCTACATACAGTAAGGTGGATAAGCGAAAACATGCTACTGCTGACGCATTTCTCCACCTGTTTCTCTTACTCCTCTCGTAACCTCCATTATTAACCTTCTATAATTCCCAGATTAATTGACGACAGCCACAATGCCACTGGAGTCACACCATCTGCGGCTACCTCGCACCATTCACTGGACGACCATCGGCAACAGTTTCTTCTCAAGCCACACTGTCCCGTTGTCCTGGCGGCGTTTACCATTAGCACTCTAAGATAAATAGGTCAACAGTCTGCATTCGCACGCACTTTGGACACACGGTATTGATGTGTGTTGTGTATCCGAAACTAGAATCAGTCACCCTCATGGGGTTGTAAATTTAACTACACCCGGCTTATCCTCTCGCTATTGATTGCACGCATCCGGAAACGCCGATGCGAAAATCACTGGTCAAGCTGGAGGGGACATCTTTCTCAGCTTCAAGGCTGTCACCGTTGATTGATTGGGTTTCCGTGAGCAGCCGTTTGTGTGCAGCCCTATTGACGACATCAGCCAAGGCTAATTCACGAAGTAGTACCTGACGCTGTTTGTTGGTGGTTTCCACTTATATCTCGACCGACGGCAGTTCTGATGCTGCCAATGTCACGTACCACGAACTGAGCACGCTGTTACGCAGTGCTACCCGTTCAGATATCATAGTATTGGGTTGTCAACTATGTTTCTGTCATTTGTTAAATTTTAACGTACAGCATGCCATTAAATGCTTTTGGCATAACGTTGTAAATCATTCAAAATATGGTTTCGTTCTATTTTTGTTTGGATTAATTTATGTATATTTTGCAGATCATTAAAATAGAATGTCAGGTTGAGAAATAATGAGCATTTTCGACACCGTTTTGCTTTTACTCAAGGTTCTAAGGCCGCAAAAGCTGCTGGCGACATTTGTGCGGTGTATGGAGAGGGTACCATACCGGAAGAAGCCGCTCCTAATTGGTATGCCGAGTTCGAAGATAGCAATTTGACCTCAAAGACGCACCTCATTCTGGCCGTCCAGTGGAATTCGATGAGGAGCGATTAAACCGGCTTTTGTGCGAAAATTCACGTCAAATGACAAGGGAGCTGGCAGGGAAAACGTAATGCTCCCACACTGCTATAGAGCAACATCTTCACAATGGCAAAGATTCAGAATTGTGGAGCTTGGGTTCCGCATGATTTAAGTGTCAACATCAATAATCAACGGGGAACACTCTCCGATGGTTTGCTTGCTTGTCAGTGCTCAGCTTAAGGACACAAGTAACGATTTCTTTACCGAATTGTTACGAGCAACGAAAAATGATGCCTGCGTATCAGTCTGAAGCAGCGCAAAGAATTGCTTAGCCCCGGTACACAAGCGACACCGCGCGTGAAACACAATCATCATCCGCGTAAAACGATGTACGTATGGTGCGACTGGGAAGAAATTCTTCACTACGAATTGCTTGCACGGAGCGAACGTTCAACGCGGAACTCTATGTTCATCCGATAGAACGACACAACACGGCTATTCAAAAGAAAAGACCTAATCGGCAGCATGTAGTTCTTTTGCTGCACGATAACGCCCGTCCTCATGTTGGCAATATGACTAAGGCCTTTCAAACGTATGGACGGGAAGTGCTGCCGCACCCGTTGTACTCTCCCGATTTGGCACCAACGGATTTCCACTACTTTCGATCTCTTTCAAATGCTACGCGCGGAGTTGTGTTCAATACTGATGCATAATTGGGAGCTTGGTTGGATGAATCTTTCGAGTATAAACTGGTTGCTTTCTACAAACGAGCAAGTCTTGTTGAACTTTGTGATGAAGTTGTACACAACAACATTGTGTTGTGTACATTATTACTTAATTCGCTATTAATTTTTAGTGAAAAATAATCTTAAAATTTAGAAAAACAGCGAAAACTTAGTTGCCTACCTAATACTTGCATGAGATGTGAACGCGCAAGTCAATCGCCTGGGCTCTTCAGAGGCTCAGCTAGGCGGTAATTATGGGCTTAACTCCGAATGGCTAACTGGAGTGAATCGATCATAGTAGCAGTGTACAAGAAGGACGGTCGCACCGTCTGTGTTAACCACATGGGTATTAGCCTACTGCCATTTGTGACAAGATTACTGGCCTCAATTCTCGTTCTTTGTCTGACCGAAGAACGAGAATCCCGGATTAAAGAAGAGAACACAGGTTTTCGCCCTAAACGGGGCTGTATGGACCACATATTCGTCTTGTGGCAGGTGTTAGAACATCGCCACGCATACCACAGATCGGCCATAGCGGTGTTCCTCGATTTCAAGAGTGCACTCCACTCAGTCGCTTGATACATTCTGTTTCAGATACTTGTGCACAGAGGTATTTTCCCATGAAATACATAAACATTTTGCGTGCTGTATACTCGAACGCGACAGGCGACATCGGGTTCTATGGTGACGTATCAGGTATCTTCCCGACACCAATTAGTGTTCGTCAGGGTTATCCCATTCCTTCATTTTGTTTCAACTTCGTCATAGGCTCCATCATGAAGTGTTCCTTTGCGTACCTCACGATGCATGTGTTGAGGTGCTGCATGGTGAAATGCCTGTTGATCTTGCTTATGCAGACGATATCGTTTTGCTATCTAGTTATGTTGGGGCGGTCCAATAAACTGAACAACGTCTAGACTGGTCCCATTATTTGGTATGCGCTTCGCACCTTCAGAGTGGAAAGTGCGTTACAGAACCACCAGCCACTTGATGACCCCTTGACTCTTGATGGCGAGGAACTCGAGACTGTTGATCAATTCACTTATATTGGCAGGTGCATCAACAACAGTGGACACAGCAGTTGAAGGTAGTTCGCGTATTGCAAAAGCTAAAACTGCCTTCTTGACTATGCGACACCTTTGGCGACAGAAAGGCCATGTTTACAAGGCCACGGTGACGGCTGTCCTACTCTATGGTAGTGAGGCTTGTCTTTCGGTCTGAGGATTTGAGACGCCTTCAAGTCTGATCATTGTTGTCTGCGACGCATGGTTGATGTCGGGTGGCACCGGTGTGTCTGCAACGATTATGTGCGCAGGCGAGTACTAGACAGTGATAATCATGCTATTTCCTTAGAACAACAGTTAGCATTGAATAACTTACGTTGGCTTAGGCACGTATTACGTATGCCTGGTCGCTGCTTACCGAGGCGGGTGTTGTTTTATTTGCCAGATGTAAGGTGGCGCAAGGCTCGATGTGGACTAAAATTGATTTGGCAGCGAGAAGTGAAGTCAATGACGACCAAACTTGGTGCTGTCGGTCCGTCTTGCCTTCCTGGTTGGAGTCCACGTGACTCGCTTTATGCTCGGCTCGAGACTTTACAGGACATGGCTCGCAGTCGACACCAGTGGCGCGTCTGCCGTCGTATCGTAGTCGGACTGCCTGTTTAACTTGGGTTTGGTGCCGAGTTATCCGTTGGATAATGGCTGATTATGACGCGGGTAATTGAAAGCCGCAATGATGCTGTCTCTCTGATGCCTCCTTATCTTTGTACGATAGCCAGTTGTTTGTGACGGTGTTGTTAACACCAGGTGTCGACGCCTTGACCCCGTGTTTGCTTAGGGCATTAAGGTTTTACACTAGGTCCCCCTTCTCTCCCTCTTATTCTTCGTTACGTAGCTCGTTTTGGTTGTATGGCAGCGTAGCATCAGTTCAAATGGCTGATGCACTGCTGTTGATGATGATAAAGCTTACGCCATTTCGATCACTGGGACTGCATCGGAAGTGGAGAGCTTCAGACGGTTCTGTAACCCTCCATTCTCTTCTATTTTTCTCTTGCTTCACTTGGCCGGCACAGCGGTGACTGGTGGTGCAAGCATTGTTTGGTTAACCTTCGTGTGGACCACACCTGTTGCTTTGGTTCTTTTAGGTGGCAGATCAACCTCCGAATTCCCCCTGGCTTAACGGCGTGATTAAAGTGAGACATTCACGGGTTCTTGTTATTCTATCCCCCGAACATTTTTTGTCAGGTTTACGAATCTCGGGATAGTTTTAATTCTGCCACTGTGTCATGTCTACGGAACCTGCATTCTTCCACTTCCCACTTGCAGTGATTAGCCCCCTTGCGCTGTAGTTTCACTCGCAAAGCACGTTCTCTTTTTTAGCCACTTTAATTTCTTCTACTCATTCAAGCCACTGCACGCCGCAGTATACCCCGGAGGTATCATTTTTCCCCGGATGTGAGCCACTATGTGATGAAATGTGCTGATTTCGCGGGTTCACGCTGCAAATGGATGACGTAAGCAAGGAGGATCTGCTGGTTTTGCTTGCGTGTCTCCAGGGTGAATTAGAGGCCCGCGAAACTGTCATCGAAGCTCTCAAAGTAGGTTGTGAATATCGTTTACTTTTTGCTTCAGTGTGAAAAAGCTGGTTGTTCCAGTGTTTTGAAGGATCACAGCTCTCTTGGAGTCTGCGAGCCGCGTCCATGCAATTCTGGAAACCCTTACCATGCTCTGTACAGAGATTCGGTATGCGCGAAACACCACATTTAATTTATTCCAGTTAATTACACCAACTTCATCTGATGGAGATGCAGCCTTAAAACCTCTGTACGATAGTCAACTCATCCAACTAGAAAATCTGATAACATCTCAACGACGTGCTCAGGAAAAAATGAGGGAGCGGATTATTCTCGTGGAGGAGAAGTACCTCAAGGTATGTTGCTGTAATTTGTCATCCTCTCTCTCTCAGGCTTGTGAGACACTAGAAGAGCAGCGCAAGAAACATGAAAGGGATACTGCTGAAGGGGACGATGTACTCGTTTTACTGGGGAAGGAACGCGAGAAGCTCAAATCTGAGGTGCTTGTTATTCTTTATACAAATGTTTTGCACAGGTTGAGCACGAAAAATTACAAAACCAACGTTTAGAGAAAGAGCTCAAAACGCTACAAACTAGTTGGTGTGAACAACGACTTATGCTACAAAAACAGAGGCAAGCCGGTGTGTTTTTATGGAAAGCGCGCCGCTCCCTTTTGAACCGTCTTACACGGGCGCAGGACCGCATTACTGAGTTAGAGAAGGAGCTTGAATCTCGTGACTCAGGTTTGAGTCACAGACTGCCCACACTTTCAGTTAGTAACCTTTATTCATATTTTTGCTCTTTAGCCTGTTGGATCATCCGCTTCAGGTCCCCATTCGGGGGACTGCGTTGCACGGGAGAAAACACTTGACTGTCCTGTCACTAGTGAGCCGTGCAGATGCGAAGATTTACGCAATCGTTTGAACGAAGAAACAGCATCTCGACTGTTGGTCGAGGAGAAACACGAAAGGTAGGTACTTCAACCCGTTGTGAAGCCTGACTGATATTGCAGTCATACCAGAGATCTGTTCTGTGCTTACTGGCTCATTGTCATCCTTATCATAACGTGATGGTTTGTGCGCCTCTACGATATATGTAGCCACGATTGACGACACTTTCCAATCCTCTTCAGGACAACTGTCGCTTCATGGCAGGGCCTTCTGCTTAAATTGTTTATGCTACGTTAGCCTTAGGGTACAGCTAGTCGCTACGACGGACCGTGAAAGTTACGTGGAGCTTATATCACCGATGCCACTATGTTTTTCCACGGTGTCTAACTGTCTGCAGCTTTGTGTTATTCGCAAAATATAGACACCTTGACTTTGAACGTTTGTAGTACATTCAGGTTCCATATTAGAACCCCATTCTCTAACCACTATAAAGCGCTGGTATGTCTTCATTCTACCCGTTGATGCTTAGTTGTGCTAGTGACATAATCTTTTAGAGTTCGAACTCATTCTCCGCGCTCTGTTCATATGGAGTCGTAGACCAGTGGCTTTCTACTTACAACACATTTGCTTGCGACGTTATTTGTGCGCTGAACTCCATGGGCTTTGTAGGTTGTTGCGGATTCAACCGTATGCTGACACTTCGTTGCCACGCGACCACCACCAGTTGCGCTTGGGCTGTGGATACTGCTTAGTTGGCCGCACATGCACCGATTCGGACTGGTCACCTCTGGATTACAAGGCAAGCGCCTTACCATTCGGGTCACCGGCCAGCTGTTACCTGCTGATCAGTTATCGCTTGCTTCTTAAGAAGCAGTCTCTGGCCAGTAAGACAAAGGTGTCAAAGCATACAGTGACTGCGTATGTTATCATCTCATGTGTTCGAAAAATCTGCACGACCGTTTCCATGTTTGATGAAGTTACAGGTAACCGATGAGAGCCCTACTTATCTAAACATGTTCCATACTGCGTTGTGACCTGCACAGTACGGATAACCGACACGGCCATTTCCCAAATCAGAAGACAAAGGTCTTGGACGAAAACTGTATGGAGCAGCCGGAAGACAGCATGTACAGCCAAAATATAGGGTCAAAATAAGTACTTCGTGAGAGAATGACCTAACTGAAAGTTTTTGATTATAGTAACTACTGGATGCGCAAAAACTCGCTTGTTGGCTGTTCAAGTAGTGCTCTTACTGGAGGACTTCTAGGCACGTCATTCTCATTGGTTCGCTTCAAGGTAAAACGTTGCTATTGGTTAGCCAATCAGCTTCAGACGGTGTGCGACCAACCTTCTCCGAGCTGCTTCAGAGAGAGAGCTGGATTCAAAGGCTGCTACGGACGGGCTCCCATAACATTCCCCCGCGAAAAGTGACCTACGACTTTCTCCTGGGATTTAGCTGGATTCTGACTACGGATCTTCGTATCCGATCAGTCCATCGTCATGGCTACAAGCTTGTTCCTTCTGTGGTCACCGGTCAAGGCTCATTATGTCGTTCCTGAGTAGCAGGGTATGTGTCGAAATTGCCCAGCAGGATATCCAATGGCAACGATCGTTCACTGGTACTTATCTGAATGCTGGTAGACCGCAGCTTTATATAGCAATTTTCCAAGTCTGCATTCGTTCGAGCCTGTGCTCCACTGTGGTCTTCCAGGGCGATAGTCTGACTAAATCACTGTCCTAGGTGTGGTAGACGTACTTTCCTCCTGTACCTCGGATTAAAGTCATTTTCCATTTTCGCATTTCTCTCTTGCGGGGCGATACGCCTCGGAAGCAGCAAGGAATTCAGAGCACTGAGTTTTCCACCCATCATCGCTTCTTCTGGGGAAAGTTTATTTGATACAGGAAAACATTCAATCTCCTCGGTATTTCTTACCCCCCTCATCTTCAGCAGCGTCTGTTTAAACATATCAACAAAATGCTCCTTTTGTCCATTGTACTGTGGGTGGCATGGCGGCGAGCGTAGGTCTATGGTACCGTTCTGCGTACAGTATTCGGCAAACTGCCATTGTCAGTAACTAGGGTCTCTGGTATTCTATGCTGGGCGAAGTCTTCTAAGTATGCCAGTTGTTGCGCCATTTGTTGTACGTTCCATGTAGAGCACTTCCGGCCACTTGCTGAAGATATCAACAACGATGAGATACTGTTGTTCATTCACGGGATCAAGGAAATACGCGTGTACTCCTTCCCACGGTTTCGTTGGTCAGCGGCCAAGAAGACAGTTCTGCTTTCCTGGGCCCCTAACTGACAAACGCACATTTTGGGTACGACTTTGCCGGCTGTTCCAGCTCCGAGTCGATATTCGGCCAATAAACGTAACCCCACGCGATCCTTTTCAGGGTGTCCACGATGAAACTGCCGCAGAATTCTTTGGCGAAGCTCCCTGGGAATAACAACTCTTTCCGTCAAAAGTAACCACTCCTTGACGATGGATTATTCATCTTTTCTCCGGAACAAACTTTTCTATTGCCCATATAAGTTTTCCTCCGGCCACCGTGTGGTATGAAATCTGACCACTTGTTGTAGGACAGGATCCCGCATTGATGCATCACGTGCTATCTCAAAAGTTACCGGAAGCCCTTTGAGCGTTTCCGATAATACCTGCTTCACGTCTAACTGCAGAAAAATCGCTGCAATAATAGATTCTTCTTGCTGGCGCTACTGGCTTTCCAGTAGCCTGGAAAGTGCATCAGCTTGACCAATGTCCTTTATAGAAATGTGTTTCACCATAAAATCGTTGCCGAATAATGTAGTAGCTCACCGCTGCAACCTGTTTGCCGTATGGACCGGAATGCCCGACGTTGCTCCGAAAATTGCTGACAGTGGCTTATAGTTAGTAAGAAGTGTAAACTTCCTTCCATCTAGCATCTCGTAAAATTTCCTTATAATGGCGGCTTCTTTCTCTATCTGGCCACAATTTCGCTCTGCGGGTGACAGCGATCGGGCTGCATATGCAATTGTCTTTTCTGAACCATCTGCGAACTTGCGAGTTATGACTGCACCAATGCCATAGTTGGAGTCGTCTGCGGCCACCACAATCTCTAAAGTAGGGTAGAAATGTCAGCAGAAAACCGGAATATTTTAGCCTTTTTACCTCTTCAGTTGATCTCTGGCATTCTTCGGACCAATCCTAGTGTTTATCCTTTGTCCGTAGGTCACTGAGTGGGCAACGCAAGCGATACATGTGCGGTAGGAACGGGCTGTAATGAATTATGAGTCCTAGAAAGGACCTTAGCGTTGCAACATCTTTGGGCGGTGGTATATTTTTGAGTGTTTCGATGTTAGCTGGGTCTGAACACCTGCTGTCCCTGTTGGTTATATAGCCGAGAAAAGTAATCGAGTACAAAAAAGTACAATTCTCAGATCGGAGTCTGAATCCGTATTCCTCGACACTACCAAGAACTCGATCCAACTTTTCGGATAAGTCATCAGCACTGCCCCCGACAACAATGATATCTTCCAGGTATGCGGCTGATCCATCGACATCTGCCAGCGTTGTGTCCATGATCTGCTGGAATATGGCTGGTGCAGACCTGACTCTAAACTTGAGACAGTGATGCTGGTACTGGCCTCGATGTGTATTGATGGTGAGTCGTGAAACTCCATATACCTCGATCTACACGTATGCATCAGGAAGATCCACCTTTGCGAAATATTTACCTCCATTCAATTTTGCGAACAAACCATCTGGAAGCGGTAAAGATTATTGATGGACGTTCAATGAAGCATTTAGACCCGTCGAGAAATCTGCGCATACTCGAATCTGACCGTTTGGCTTTCTGACCACAATGGGTGCCGCCAGGATGAGTAGTTCACCGGATGGATAACCCCTGCTCTCTCTAATCGATCCAGTTCCTGGTCAACCATTGGTCTTGCCGCGTAAGGTACAGGGCGTGTCGTACGAAACACTGGAACAGCATCGTGCTTAAGGGACAGTGAAGCTTGTACTTTGGTGCACTTACCGGAGCTTTCCCGAAAGACTGCTACATATTTCTCCCGTAGGCGCTCGATGGCTACAGTTTTAGGGGGCTGTTGCCTCGTGTGTGTGGATATTTGCACAAATCTGCTTGATCGGAACATCAAGTAGGTTAAAACGCTCGATCCACTCCGTATTCAGAAGATTCAAATTTTGGTGGCTCGTGATGAAAATCCTCCCCCATGCGGTAAAGTCGGCATAACGACACACATTTCAACTCAGCAGTTGTTGCACTTTTCGCCAGTTGACTAGTTGGTTCTATATCTGGCGACGCGACGATCGTCCACAGCCTTTCTGATATAATTGTGATATCTGCGGCCGTATCGATCTGCAAGCGCGCCTGTCTTCCATTGTTGTTGATGCTCATGTAATTTCTGCGATCTCTAACATCGTCAGTAAAATTGGTGTTCACTCTCTTTGTAAGATGACCGTAACTTTTCTTTCATGCATCACGAACCGGTCTGAAAGGTGGCTTGAATCTGCAATGAGTTTCTTTGTGACCAGGTCTATGACATTTCTGGCAAATGTGCTTGTTGATTGGACACCATTTAACAAAATGCTAGTCTCCACATTGCCAACATGTTGTTGGTGACGGCTTGAGGGATCTTCTTGAGATCAATGGCCAGAAATGTGTTCCTCGAAATCTGTTGAACTGCGAAATCCTTGGAATGCGCGTTCGTATCCTCGACCTTTGCTGTGTCGTTTTAAGTTGATGATTCTATGGGCCTCCGCAATGATAGCTTGCAGTGTGACATCCGGTTTCCGCTCCAACAACCCAAGAATTCTGGCGCTGATCTCGGCATCATTGGGAGATTGCAGGCTGCATTACCAGTATCAGACACTCAAATTGGTCCTCATTAAGCGATTTCAGCTTGAATTTCTGGCACTCGTTTCACTGTTGCTACTTGAGCAATGAGGCTGTCGCTGTCTCTCTTGCACAGCTTTATGCAATTGTACCGATTGTTGAAAAGCATTTCCTGGTCACCGAACTTCTCCGTAAATCGGGAAATTGTTTCATCGAAGCGGCAATCTTGAGCACTCTTGGGT